GATTACTGTAAATACACGTGTATAAGCCGAGTTTTTCAGCACACTTTTAATGCCGTTTTTTGTGGTAAAATTGGGTGCCTCGGCTGATATTCGGGTTGGCTTAGACTCGAGTATATACGGTAATGAAATAGCTGTGTGGCTAGTGGCTACCACACTGGACAGCATACCTACTTCTAAGGGGACGATTTCCTCCTCTGTCCATGAGTATGACGGAGCAACATGCAACGTGGATCTCCCCACGCTTAAGGCACTTTTCTTTCTAAGACGGCACATGACCAACTGGCAACAAGTTACCAGCCCTCTGCTCAACAAACATCTTGAAAGCTTGTGTAAGTACTTGGTCACACTCAGGACCAGCCCTATATAATGTTGGTGCTGCTGTTGGAATGAAGTCCATGCCCCGGGACTGGACTGCTGTGATCCCTAAGGATTTTCACGGGCTGATTTTGAGATGTATTATCACCAGGCCTTTCTTCCTAGTCTGAGTCCGGAAGCGGTGCTGAAGCCTGTTCAGCAGCACACAAGCTTCCACTGACAAACAGGTAATGGCAGCATCACATGAAAAGCACTGGCTGGGGATCAAACCCAGGTGTTCCATGTGCAGGGAGGTGAGAAATTGACCACTGACCCACCACTACGTTCAGCCAATATATGAAAATCAATTTATCACGGCAGCAGACGGGAGCCACAAGTAAGCCAAGCTTTGTCCTTTAAAAGAACAAACTCACTGCTATCCAGTCAATACCCACTCATAGAGACCCTCGAATCTTTATGGAAGCCGACAGCCTCATCTTCCTATTAAATAGCAGGTGGTGGGTTCGAACCACGGACCTTGAAGCTAAGGTAACCCACTATGCAACCGTGCAGTTGTCCTTTAGACACCCGAGGTTTCTTTGCCTGGTCTATTACCTTCCTTTAAAATACTCGCTGCTACTAACAAGTTTGGGGTGCGAGAAGTTTCTCCAAATTACTCCCTGCACTCCAAGGAGCCCGCAGGTTGGTAACAATAGCTCTGGGTAACAATAGCTCTTCCTGGGTGGCAAGTTCTTTTCGCTCACCCCAAACCTGTTAGCAATCAATATGTATCAAATCCTCCTTCCTCTTTTGGAATCTTCACAAGCCTGTTAGATTGTATCCGTTGAGAACTTGCGCCCCGCCTCTCACCGACCCGGAGTGGGTCTCAAACCTCCATCTACCGTCTATGAAGGCGAAAGCTGCGCTCCAAGTTCTGCACACAGTAGGTGTTGCAGAACACATGGGCTGAATTTAAAGTTTAAAAAGGGATTTCCGCTTGGCGCGGGACTAACGGCCGGTGGGTTTTGAGAAAATGGCGAACTTCTGGAACTCCGGGGGTGGGAGAGGGTCCCGCCGGCCCCAGCTGCGGACCTCGAGGCCCGAGCCTCCGGCGGCTCTAAGCCGGGGCGGGTCGCGCC